AGCCGTGATTGGGACTCAAGGGTAGGAGGACAACGGTAGGTCTGGTGTTGATGCGTTTTGCCGCCTTGACGGAGCGCACAGCTCCGAGCAAGCGGTGCACATTCGTCATCATGGCGCGGAAAGCGACTTCTGCACGATCGTCGATGGCCGACACATCACGTCCGTATGCTGGAATGGCGGCAAACGGAATGAGAATGTCGAGGTCGACGCGCAAAGACTCGTAAATGTAGGTGACCAGACTGTTGACGTCTTCTTTGCTTGCGCCGTTGAATGGCACGACGGTGAGCTGAGAGCCTCGCGCACCGACCTTTTGAAAGATTTCCTTGTAAAAGTCTAGAGTGGCGCGAGAGTACGACGAGGTGGTGATGATGACTCGAGCGCCACCAGCCAGCAATCCTTTCGCGACTTCGAGCGCGATTGAACCCTTGCCGACACCCGTCAGCAGAGCATTTTGTCCTTGGAATGTGACTCCATTCTTGGCCATGTCCTCGAGGAGCGTCATGTAGACGCCTGTGAGCTGCTTGCTGGTCTGCCATTCTCCTCCGACCTTGCGCTTGACATTTAGGTACGGGACGCGGTCATCAGCGAGGCTGAATGGCTCGGGCGTGACGGTAGGACGAGAGCCGTGGGCGACGGAGGATGATTGGCGACGGCTGCTCGAACCGCGAATGCGGGGATGACGGCCAGCAGGTCCGAGCGAGCGCACGACTTCGGTGTACATGCTCTTAATGGTCGTTTTGCCGACCTTCGTAAAGCTAGGCTCGTTTCTGATGAGCGTCCAGAGCTTGGCCATTTGCTCTCTTGCCAGCTCTACGTTGACTTGCGGGCCGACACGCTTTCCGTGCGCCATCTCTTGTACGTACGCCTCCAGCTTGCGAACGCCTTCGCGCTTGACCTCGCTGTAGATGACTTCGCCCTTGGCTCCGATTTCGGTGTGTGGAGCGGTGGGAGCGTAGACTTCCTTGTAGATGGGTGGGCTTGGCAATGCCTCGCGACAATTTTCCATCAGCATTTGACCGAACTGCTTGGCGAGCGCATACGTGGGACCCAGCTCGGGATCCACGCGCTCGATGGTGTACGCCATGAGGTGAAGAAGCGTGTCGTCTGCGCGCGAGATGATGTTGAGACAACGCTGCGTGATTTCACGATCGACGGTTGTGAGACGCCCACTGATGATGTCGTACCAGAGGTGCTGAGCGTCTTGCCTGGACCAATTCCAAAAGCTTGCAAAGTGGCGAGCTTTGAGCGGGTCGAATTTGGGGCGAATCATGTTGGTGTACTCTTCGCCGTGCTCTCGAGAAATGGCGTCCAGCTGATCTTGCAAAGCTTTGACTTCTAAACGGGTGCCCTCTGCGACGCGTTGGCCAGCACGACCATCCACACCGAGATAGCGCTGGAGGATTTCGATTTGACGGCGGGCGTGCTCGTCGTGACGGCCTTGGATCTTTTCTAGCTCTTCAGCGCTGATTGTAGCCCCGCCACCGCCTCCACCGGAGCTGCCAGCACTGCCACCGCCTTGGCTGAGAGTGATACCGGCATGCTGAGCGTAGGTTTGGGCTGCAGTGTCGAGGAACGCCTTTGCTTCCGCTTCGGAACCCAGACGTTTCGGAGGTTCTTGCGTGAGCGAGACGAGAAGGACAGCATCCGTTCGACCAGGACCCAATCCCCACGCTTTCTGGAGGTGCGACTTGGCGCTGGCGAGGTTGAAGCCTCCGGGAAGCTTGCCGCCGACCATGCGGGAGACGAGACCGGATGTGTACTTGCCCATCGTCCCACTGTAGCCAGCGCCCAGGGCTCCGCCCAATTCGTCGAGTGGGAGCTCCTCGCCTCGTTCAGGGAGGCTGGAAAATTCTTCGCCGAGACTAGCCACGAGCTCGTTTTGCAAAGTGGACTTGCCGCCGACGAGGTCCTTGATGGCCTTGGAGAGGGGAATGTCCGAAAGTTGCTTTTTCAGTTTTTGGGCGAGAATGACTCGCAGAGTGTCCACCGCTTTCAGTGGCTCGTCTGGAACTTCTGCAGCTGCACTGGCTGGCGCTGCAGCAGGGACAGGGACAGGGGCAGGAGCCGCGACAGCCGGCGCTGGAGCAGCAGCAGGAGTAATAGCACCCGCTGAGGGCCCAGCCGGAGTGGTTTCGACGGCATCAGCTTCAGCGTCGGCAAAGTTGTAGTAGATCTTGTCCCTGTCGCTGCTATGGCAAAACATGGCTCGGCGCTTGCCCTTCGCTTGGTCAGCAGCGGCGTATTCTGGGTGAATGGGGCAATATCTCAGCGCAGAGCAGCAGGCGAGCTACCAAAAGATACGGCGCATGCCACTCACTCAGACCCGCCGTCTTTTGTGCCATTCCTTTCAGCGTGGGTGCAGGACCGAACTCGACGAGGCGCTCAAAGGAGTAAGGCTCGTTGAAAAAGACGTCTTGCGTTTCGATCCTGCAAAAGTGATACGGAGTGAGCTCGGCGACGATTGGGACGCGGCGTGCCACTTGAATACCGACCACCTGACGGGACTGGCGAACTGATGACTCAGGAGCAACAGCAAGAGCTCCTTGGCGAGGCGTTGGCGCTTTTCGACTGTACCCCAGCCATCCTTGTCCCAGTTTTGCAGCATCTTTTCCAGTCTAGGCGATCCTGTCGTGTCGAGAATGAGTTGCGCATACTCTTTCGTGAGCTACGAGGGGCAGCAGCAGCAAGAGCGGGGGGTCAGTCGTCGCGGACACAGAGCGTCTGAGGGCTACGCCTGCTCACTCACTTGGAACGGCTTGGCTACGAGGTTTGGAATGTATTTGTTGATGAGCGCATCGGGATTGATGTCTCCCACCCTCTTGGACAAGAAGGCGTGAAATTCTGGCACACCTCCATTGAGGACGCGAGAGTGAAAGGGCACATCGATGCCGGGCAGTGGAATGGTGCAATAGCCCCTCTTGAGCTCGATCCTGCCTGCTGCTGCCTCGGAGGATGCCTTTTTGTCAGCCTCGGCGATGATCTCGCGGAGCTTGTCACGCAAGACGGATGGATCTGCTTTTTGAAGGATGGACATGATGTGCTTCTTAGTCGAGCGAGGTGAAGCACGTCTAAGGCAGGGCAGGGCAGGGCGAGGAGAGCGAGTCTGACCTGCTGCTGATGGAGAAAGGGTCAGTTGGACGAGGCTAGATGTGAGCGGGAGGATGAAGCGCGCATGTGGGATCTTTTTGGTGAGCAGGGCGCTTCCTAACGAAGTGTGACTGTGCACGACGCAACGTCTCTCAAGACCTGAGTGGGCAACAGCGGCATATATGCTCATCGAGCTGAGCGTCACCCCCAGCTGCCAACGTATAGCCTCCTATGGCGACCACTTGCGCTGTTGCACCAGCACGCAACACTCGTGCATGGCTTTCGGAGCGGTTTGACTCGTGACTGCGAATTTGGATGAAATGGATCAGAATCTTGAAATGAATGATTGGACCCCTGCCCAGTTGTTGATGATGGCGGTCCATGGGTGAGAGCACGCACCACCCCTGCCTCCAGCAGCCAGCCACATTATTCACCCCCGCGCTCCCGCACCTCTTGGACCCCCAAAATCCGGAAATTTCCAACTCGCGCTCATCGCGTCGCGCGAGGTTGGGGTCTTGGGGATATGCCGCGCGCGCGCGATCAAAGCCATGCCACCCGCACACCCGCACCCGCGTGCGCCCATGGCAAGTACGCCGGCCGCCATGCATCATCGACTTGTTGATTCACCTTCGTGATTCTGCGCATGCGTCGCGTCGCGGTATACAGCGCGGTGTGCCCAAGCCGAGCAGGGGCCTTTTTGAGTCATTTTGCCTAGGCATGCAATGCAGCAAGCCAAAATTTAGGATTTTGTCAATGAATCGCCGCGGGGTGGAGAGAGAGGGTGCGCGCCGCCGCCGCGCTAAGGGATGTCTCATTTTGCCCCATCACTCGAATCATCATATCCTGGAGCGATTGAGAAACAGGTTCGAGGTGCGAGCGCGAGGCCCTCATCCATCGAGCTTCATTTTGGTCGCAGCAGCAGTCTGAGTGATGCGCGAAGCAATAAGCTGAACCTCCCGCCCCGCCCCGCTCGGCCCGGCTCGCTCAACAAATGGAGAGTGTCCGCCATGCCCCTTGCCCGCCAGGTTGTGCGATTCTAATCAATCGCAGGGCGGCGTGAACGTCGAGGTGGTCGGACGCTGTGTGTAGCCAAGTGTATGCTCAATGGTGCTGACTACAGACGAGCTCCACTCTCCTCCCTACCACCCACATCTTGTGCAAGTTCCTCGCAGTCGACAACGCCTGGCAAACCTATTGACACCAGCATCCCTTGCACTCACGCTTCGTTCCACTGCATTTCACGATCTCCACCCTTCACGAGTCCCCCCCTCCCTAAGGGCCTCCCACAGCCACAATGCCTTCGTCAAAAGAAAAGCAAGCGGCTTGGATCGCAGCAAACCGAGACTATCTGATCAGGCGGCTGAATGCTGATAGTCATCGACCATACTTTCCACAGCATGCAGACGGGAGTGTGGCGAAAGAGCTGGGAGAAATGACGTACGAAGAAGTGGCCAGGCGCTTGTTGCAGCTCACCTACCTGTCAGGCCGAGGCTGGATAGATTCATCTTGGCGCCTCCTCATGGGAGATTGGTTGCGCAGGACCGAGGAACGCTTCGTCAAGGTGGATCCGGGCACGAGCGCTCCAAAGACTTCTGTCATACAATCATACATCGAATTGGACGAGGGCACGCCGGCGTTGGACAGATTCTTCGATGCCTACCTCAGGGCCAAAAAGGCAATCTTGGCAGCTGAAGATGTCAGCTTGTTCATCGAAATGTGCAGGCGAAGGGGGACCAAGCCTGTGCCATTCATTCCTGTTCTCGACTCTGATCTCAAGACGTGGTTCAAGAAAGGTGGGTCTGCATCGTCTCGACCGCCGACGCGCGCCTTCACTGACGCGTTTGCTCCCACCAGACTCGCTCTGGCAGAGCGAAGACCTGGATGCCGTGGTTGATCGTGATCCTCAAAGAGTGTTCAGTGAGTAGTGATCCATGCGGCAGGCGACGCGGCGCGCGACGCTTTGAGCTGACACGCTTTTCTCCCTCAGTCCTGCAAGGACCAGTGGCTGCTCGCCACTCCACCAAGGCTAACGTTCCTATCAAGGAGATGCTAGGCGATGTGGAGCAAGGCCTCATAACGAGAACGCTGAAACGTTACTATGACGGCGACGAGAGCAAGGTACCCTCCGTGGACTATTTGGGTCCTCAGCCTCCAGCTCTCAACACTGCTGCTTTGCTCAAGCAACACGACATCAAGGCGACCCAGGGCGCCGATGGCCGCTCCATGACGTATCAGCTAGGGTCGAGTCTTCCCCCGTCAGACGACTGGCTGGAATTGCTTGCTGGCCGCTCCGCTGGATGGTTTAGAGCTCTGCTGCGGAGCGTCAGCATCGTGCAGGGCAAAAGCTACGCGGACAATCCGATTTCGCGCATCCTTGCACCTCGCAAGAATCAGCAGGTCGAGATCACGATGGACCCAGTCTCTGGCAGGCCCCTCGGACTGATAGCGCGAGGAGCCGCCCGCTCGTACGGGCCCCACGACCCAAGCTTCAAGAGTGTTGAAGTCTCTCGAGACGCCGACTTGATCAAGGTCCTCATTTTTGAGCAAGTCAAGGGAAAGGGCGTACCTCTGGAGCTTCAATTCCGCTACGTCCCATCACAAGCTTTTGCGCCAATCCACGAAATCATGACGGGACGCAACGAGCGCATCAAGACCATGTACCGGGGCGTCTGGGGTCTTGCTCCACGCGCAGCATCGCAAGCGGCGCAAGAGGTCTACACTTCAGAGCCTCAGCTGCTCGACGCGCAACTCGTTTCAACGTTTTGCCGCGTCGTTGGCCTCAATAATACTGCTTACCACGAGCAAGTCAGTGCTCCTCTTGATGCGGCCATCATTATCGGATGGGCGCCCATCATGGAGGCTGCCATGTCCGTGGATGCCGACTTGCTGCGACTTGTGCACCTCAGCAACAGCTTCAAGCGCCACTCTGGAGCAGACGTGCTGCGCATTGGAGAAAAGTACACTTCGAGCGCATACGTCAATTCGATTCGCATCACGCCCACCGGCAAGTCGGTCAGCGTGCTCGGCACGGTCTCGTTGCAAGACAAGGCGACGGGCACGTTGCACCCAATCGTCGATGTCGAGAGCTCGTTTTTCTTTCGCGGAGCATTTACAGACTTTGGCACGACGTTTGAGAAGAGCGAAGAGCGCTACATTGTCGAAATCAAGTCGGCATCGGATGCGGCCGTCTTGCAGAGCAAGGAGTGGTTCACTTGGACCGGCACCACTCCACTCAAAGCTGGACTCAAGCTGGAGCTGCATGTCAAGTCGGACGTCAAGTTTGGCAACGACGCGTCTTCCTTCCAGGAGGTCGACGTCGAAGGAGGCGCATACATTCGCGACATTGTCGACGGCAAGCTGATTTCTGTGGGGGGGATCGAATACATTGCAGAGGGCAAGAGGTGCGTCGAGGGTCAGAGGGTTGATTGCTTCGTGGTTGCCTGCTGATTTGCGCTCCTCTACAGCTACGGCAATCCTGTCGTCGAATACATTAAGCGGCTGGGAGGCAGCACGCTCGGTCCTGTTCCCTTGGAAGGCGGTGGATACTCGCTTCTAGTCGGCGCCGAGTCATCGACGTTTGTTGCGCCCGCTACCAACGCGCCGTATTCGGCTGCCAGCGGCGATTACAATCCCATCCACATCAATCCCTACTTTTCCGACTTTGCCGGGCTTCCTGGTACGATTACCCACGGCATGCATTCTTCGGCAGCTGTGCGACGAATCACGGAAGAAGTGGCAGCAGAAGGGCACCCGGAACGTTTCCGTTCCTACTCGGCCAACTTTACCGGCATGGTCCTGCCTGGCGACACGCTCGAGGTCAGCTTGCGCCACATTGCCATGCACGATGGCCGCAAGATTGTCAAGGTGTCGGCCGTCAATCAACGCGGAGAGAGCGTGCTGGAGGGTGAAGCGATGATAGACCAACCTCCTACGGTGTACACTTTTACGGGCCAAGGATCGCAAGCCGTCGGCATGGGCATGGATCTGTACGACAGCTCGCCCGTCGCCAAACAGATTTGGGACAGGGCAGAGCGCCACCTTCAGACCACCATGGGCATCAGCGTTCTGGACATTGTCAGACACAATCCCAAATCGCACACTTGCCATTTTGGAGGCGTGGCCGGCGCTCGAATTCGATCGCAATTCATGGGCATGTCCTTTGAGGGACCAGAGGGGATCAGCAGACCCCTGTTTCCAGAGATTACAAACACGAGCACTAGTTATACCTTTGACTCTCCTGATGGGGTGAGTTGCGACATTCTAGCTCGACGTAACGAGCAGCCACTGACGATTTCTTGCCTCTGATCCCACGCAGCTCCTCTTCATGACTTCCTTTGCGCAGATCAGCATTGTGCTGGTCGAAGTGTGCGCCTTCAACGACATGAAGTCGCGGGGACTCATTGATCCCGAGGCGCCATTTGCCGGGCATTCGCTGGGTGAGTTGATGGTGAATCGCTCTCCGATCTCCTTGCGAGGCTGCTGACCGGTCCACTCTGCTTCACCGGCGCTCCCGCAGGCGAATACGGCAGTCTTGCAGCAGGAGGCTGTCTGTCCATCGAGGACCTGTGCGACGTCTGCTTGCGTCGAGGTCTGACGATGGAAAGGGCCGTGGCGCGCGACGAGCATGGTCGAACAGATTATGGTCTGATGGCCGTCGCGCCTGCACGCATCGGTCTCACCGACGAGCTCTTTGCCCACATTGTTGGCGAGATTGACGGATTCAACGGAAGCTTTGTCCAGGCTATCAATTACAACGTCGCCACGCTCCAGACCGTCGTTGCGGGTAACCTGAAGGGCTTGCAGACACTCACGCATACTCTCAACGGCATCGCCGCCGCTCTCAAGTAGGCGACCGCGCGCTCCTCTCTTTTGTCGTCCCCCCGATCGCTTCCCGTCACCCGTATGTCCACGTTGCGCATGATTACAATAGATTGATGATTGTGAAGGGGGAGTGCAAGCCTTGAAAGGAGATGCGGAAATCGCCCAGCGCACGTATGCCGCGCATCCCACGCATTTGGCAGATGGGATTGCTGCTGCTGGGGCCGTGCAATAATGAAGCAGCACGTGCACGCGTCCTGTGTGCAGTTGGCGCCGCGCGGGCTCTGACGCGCGATTTCTGACTGGCTCTCGTCTTGCGCGCGTATGCGCCGCTGAGGAGCCGCACCGTTGCCGCACCGCTGCTGCTGCTGCTGCTGCTGCTGCTGCTGCT